TTCCCTTATTCATTGGAACAATTTCTCATCGTAAAACAAAAATTCTAAAGAGAATGTAAAAAATATGAAAATGTGAATTCCCATTCAATTCGATTTAATTTGATTTAATTTCATTTTTATTTGCAATTTAACGCATTTCCATTTCCTGCCCTAGCAGCGATTTTATTGCTGAAACTTTTTGACATTTAACATGACAAATATTTCGTAAAAAAAAAATAAACATAAAATAATTTTTCAACCAAATTTCAAATGTTGGCAGCACAAACTCCGTCAATCATACGCCCTGTGGTACGCTTTTATCATAAAAAAAATGTCATTGAATTTGATTTGTATGCCCTGTACTTAGAAAAGGAGCTCGAGAGGTATGCTGATTAGGATACTAAATAATAATTATTATATTTATTTTATATAATTTGTCATTATATTATTGTAAAATTATTCTAAAATATTTTAAAAATATTTTATTTTTACTGATACTATTTCAAAAGTAAGAAAATACCGACTCAATAGATTTTATTTACAATCACAGCGCATATTCTAGTCGTTCTCAATTTTTTGTATATAAATTTTTCTTTCACTTTTCTTTTTATTTACTTGAGGTATTGAAAACTCCCTTTGATTTGCAAATATTAATCAAATGCCAGTTACAGACAGCCAAGAAATATATGAAAAATAATTACCATCCGACGGTTCGGGCGGTCTTACGCATATCATTAATCAGCGGCGACTGAGCCAATGAGCGCCAGATGGCGCTGCAGCCGCCAATAACATTGACTCCTGTGCGGCGTCGCTTGATTTACATAAATGCGCCATCAGTAGTCGTTAAAGAATCGACTGGCTACAATGAAGAGACGAGGGCGCATAACCTTTTGCCCCTTTTCATGCAAAAAAAAAAAAAAAAAGTGTAGAAACGAAAAGGGTTTCACTCCCGATCATTATTTATTGTGATTTGTGATTTGACGCCATTTACCAACACTGTGCCATTCAATGGCCACCGCTGCTCAAGTATTTCGCTCATTTCGTCAGATGATTAATCAAACTGACAAAGTATTTTCACTCGCACGAATCCTTGCACATGTGTGCGTGTGAGTGTTACTTTGAAAAATTACACGCCGAATCGTTAGTGTAACTGCGACGGCTAGCTGCCAGCGGGAGTGAATTTTAACTGGGGCGTGAACGTATGTACATGGCAGGATTTCGATGTCCCTTACATGCTTTTGCTCTTTATCGCAACGGCTTAGGCAAATTTACTACGAAAATTCTAAAGCGATGTTAAATAAGCTCACAAACATGTTCAGGCGGGCTACGGCTTGGGGTGTCGATAAAAAAATATATCATAATACATCATTAATATATAACGCAAGCAGAGTGACTCAGACTCTGCTCCTAGCTAAATATAAAATTTATAGAAATCCTCTGCTGTTGACAAACTGTTAATCTGCTGCTTAACTCTCCAGCCGAAGCAGGAGAAATTGGAATTTTGTCATTTCCTGCACATGTAGCCACAATTACAAGCTGGAGCTCAGGGCTCTTAGGCTTTTGAAACAATGAAGCCGCTTGAGTGTAAATCCGATGGAAACACAAAAGCATTCTCAAGTTCTCGTAGAGTCCGTGCAGCTGTTGCTGCTTTTGCTGCGCCTGATTAAGTTTCGCTTAACTTTCAGCTCGGCACAAAGGCCAATCGATAAGTTTGGCTTCTGAAGAGGGCCGAGACCAAATTATGGCGCGAGACAAAGCCAGAAATGTTATTGAGAGAACGTGAACGTGAAAGTGGGAACGTGTGAAATGTTCGGCAACTCAGCTGCTGCTGCTGCTGCTGCTGCTACTGATAAGAAATGACAACTGCAGTCGGCACAGCAGACGTGAGGCAGTAGGCAGCCGGCTCAGTTTGTCTGTCCGTAACAATGAAAGTCATAACAATGAAAGCAAAGCCAGCGAGGCGAGCGGCTCCCGGCTGACCATCGAGAGTCAAGCGTCAATAAAACGGACATTTTCTTTTTCGCCCGGGATTGAAACTGAAAATGAAACTTAGACTGAGAGGCTGACCGACTGAGACTGAGACTGAGTGAAGCGTTAAGTGGCTGTCTGAATTTCGTGCTCATTGTTTGCATTTTGATAAGTTCTGGCCAACACTTTTGCCGAGGCAGGACACAATGTATCCCTGGCAGGTCCTGTGCCAGCCCGTCTCCAGTAGCCTCCATCGCTCTGTGTGCATGTTTAATTAAGTATCAAAGAGAAGTGCCTTTGTCTTTGAATGGTATACTCGAATGCTAAAATGTTTGCCTGTGAGCAGCGCCTTTTGCGGTTTTGATTTGGGTCTGATACTGTTTATATTAGCTCCTTAATTTGCATATTGCGTTTAATTGGGGTGACTGCGATTGATTCTGCAAAGGGAGCTGAAAACACGTGACTTTGGCTGGCCTACATTTGTGGGTTTCTTTACTCTTTGTGTAAATATTTCCCGTTGCCTTTAAAAAAGATTCACAAAACAATTTCAAGCAGAATTTTACTTAAAGACTTTCGCAAATCATGTAAAAGTTCGCTTAATTCAATTTGGATGAACAGTTTCATAATTCTCATCAATTGCGTCGTGATTGGCTGCTGATGTTGCAGTAGTATTAGTGTGAGGCTGAATGCTTGTAAAGAGTTGGCTGTGTAACTGTGTGTATATGAGTGAGCTTGCCTTTAAGCTGCGCGCTTCTCATTGCTGGCTTCTATTCTATTATACGAGAGTGAGTGCGAGAGTGAGAGAGACAAATATAACTCTACTGTTGCAGTAGTTTAGTAAAAGACTGAGCCTCAGCTTGCTGCGCTCTTCTTATTGCTGGCTTCCATTCTCTTACTACGGTGTAAGAGGAAAAGAGACAGAGATAGCTTTTGCTGAATATAGCCTCTCGTGTGCTGTGTGAGAGAAGGATGGCTATTGAGGCTAATCGGACAGCGTCGCCATGATTGGAACGGGCGAAGAGAATTTGTTATTGGATTCACTTGTAAAGAGCTAATTAAAACAGTGACCAAACTAACCGTAGGCCAATAAATAATTCACAATAGGAGTGAAAAGCTGGGATATTTATTCTGAAAGCATGACTAAGCTGTCGAATATAATATTTACTTACACCTTTCAATTTCTTATGTAGGTTGTGAAAGTTTTATATTTATGTAAATGAAAATCTACATATTTGCATTATATACATATTTGCCCTTTTAGGTTATGTCTTTATGTGAATTTTAAATTAAAGCTCAATATTCACTTTTTATTCGTTATTTATTATTTAAGACTATCAAAGGTTCATTCATATTTATTGTTTGTTGTTTGAGCGCACTCGCCCGATATAAGTTATTCAGAAGGAGCGCAGTCATAACTCTTTTACTTTGTGCTGCCGCATAAAAACTTTAAATTGATGTTAAGCTTTAAAGCCAAACAAAAAAAAAAAAAAAAAAAAACATTTTTCCTGCTCTGATTTAAATATTATTTCCTATATTTTCTGAAAAACAATCGAATAAAATACTGTGCTGCTTGTTAAGGCAAATATATTCATCAATCAACAATAAACTGAATATCAAATGAAAATGCAAACATCAAATAAGTAAATATAAACTCAATTTGCGTTTGTTCATGTTCATTTTCAAGTATTTCATTGCTTTTAATTGGTCTGGCACTTGGCTAGCATTTTCTGTTCTCTTTTTTGGGCTTAATGCCAAATGCCATAAAAACCATTGACTCGATAGTTTGCAACAGTTTTAAAGCTGTATATTTACTCTACAGACCCAAACAACTCCAGTTGAGCAGTTTGAGAACGTTCGTCCCCTTGCCAGTTTATTTCGTCATTTGCAAAGTCGTCCGACTTAACATTTTAATTTCCTGCACTGGCACTGCCAAAACTGAAGCTGGTCATTGGCGAGCAGTAGAAAAATTTGTGCAACGAGAAAGCAATACGAAAAAGTGACTTTGATCGAGCTTAAAGATACCCAGCAAATTGATTGATGGCTGACAGAAAATACATACGAAATTTCTGGCTGAGAAACAAAATCTTTAAAGAGAATTTAAATGTAGATGATAATGAAATTGCAGATCTCTACTTGAGCTCTTAATTTATGAAGAGAGTCAATGGCAGGGTATAGAAATTGTGAATTTAAATCAGTGCACTTTTCGACTGTCATTTAATTTGTGCAATTTCCGTAGTTTGCACCTCCTGCAGTTCGCAAAAAATAAAATAGAAATAAAAATAAAAAATCTCTTGCATAAGTGGCTGTCAGCTTTCTGAATTTTTCGCGCTGACATTTAATTTAAAATCAGTTTTTTTTTTTACATATCATATTGTTATTTTTATATATTTTTGCGCATTTTGTTGTTGTTTATGTTGTTATTGCACTCACCTCGCGCACGCGGCTTGGTGAGCAGCTTCTGTACAATATTATCGTATGCAATATCCTCAGCCACGCCCGAATCCTTGACGAGCTTCTCCTTAATGGCAATACAAATGTTATGGCGTGCCAGCAGCTCCTCTAGCTCCTCAAATGCCTGCAACAACACGTAGACAAAGGAATGGAAAATTACTTTCGTTGCAACAGCAGCGGCTAGAGTGACGAGCCGCGCCAAGAGTTTACCCACATCCGGGACGTAAGTGCCGACCACCTACTCCTGCCGAGCACTAAAAAAAAAAAACACAGAGCTTTCCGCAAAACAAATATGCAACGCTTCGTGTCGCCAAAGAAGGCAAAGCGAGAAAGGTAAAAAAAAAAAAAAAAAAATCAAATTGAAGCTGCACCAGAGAAACTGTGGCCAAACACGCGAAACTCAAACGCGACTCTCAAACTTAATTCATGCCACACTTTCCAAATTGAATAAGCTTCCATATGCATGCAATGTGCCAGAATAATGCTATAATGGTAGTTTGAGTACACGACTTATAGATGGGAGTTATCGAGAGAGCTGGAAGGACACGAAGGTGTTGACTAATTGGAATACATTTTATCGTGCCACTGATTGAATATACTTTGAATTTACTTTAAGTATACTTTCAATATACTTTGAATATACAATATACTTTGATAAATACAATTAAATTTATAATATTTGTCATATTGTTTATATGGACAAAAGAGGACAAAAAGTTGTTTAAAATTAATATAAAGCTTTTATATAAATGAAAAATTCTTTAAGAAAAATAAACTTGAAGTTCTGATTCTCTATGATATTTTTTGTGGATATCGTTTTAGCTTTGCTTGTATTAGAGCTTTATAGTAAAAGTATGCTATCCAACTGCACTCTGGCAGTTTTTTTTTATGGTGAAATCGTTAGCTTAGATTCGGTTTTTTATTTATTTATTTATTTTTATTTTATTTTTTTAAGACAATTATTAATATATTTTCTTAGTATATAGGAGTTATAATTGGGACTCTTAATTTCAATTAATTTATTCAAAATTAATATTATTATTAATTTATTTTTTATTAAATTTTTTAAAGCAAATCTTATGCTATGTTTATGAAAAAATTAATATAAATCATATAAATTAAAAATTTGCTGCACCTCAAATTGTTTTCTTCATGATTAAATCCTTTGGTATATACCAAATATTATATCATTTAAATCATAGCTGAATTTTGTATTCTACTCAGCTGACCAGCACTGTATGCATTATATAGATATACATATGTGTTTGACAGCTAAATGATTACATCGCTAAGTAAATCCATAAAAATCGTGTGTTTAATAGCTGCACACAATTCATAAATTGCTTGCTTCTTTCAATCTGCTTACATTTTGAGCACTTACCTTAATGCCATAGTTGCTCTCCTCGTAGATAATCGAAACGTAGGTCCAACCCATGCTCTTCACAATCTCGACCATGGCCTTCACCTGGTAGTGGTCGGAGGGAATGGTGCGTGAAAAGTACTCGAAGCGCTGCTTGTTGCTCAGCTCCGGGCTGGTTGAGAAATACGAGACCTGCAAAATGTCGATGCATAAGCAAAAATGTTTGATGAAAAGCATTCTATTAGAACGTCAACAAAATTGCGAAATAGAAGAAAAAGAAAATACAAAAAAATATTATATATTGACTGCAGTTGCCGATGTCGGATTGAAGCTGGCTGAAAGTGGTGTGCCATGCACTTTTCGCTGCTCACAAAGTAAAGTAAAGTCCTTGGGGTGGGGGCAATCACAACAGCAACAACAACAACAACAAACAACAACAGCACCTACAACAATAACAAGTCTGCTTGCATGACTGCAAATGCCCTTGGGAAATTGCATGATACAAAATCATAATTTACCATGCAATTTCTAACTAGTTTGCGGCTTAAGTTTCCCCTGTTTAAAAGGCTTGAATAATAGGCACGAGCATGCTATTTGCTATTCAATAACAACTAAACAGAACTTCTGCATTCATTATGAACAATAAACTTGTCGTTAAAGTAATTGTTGAGAAAACTGCGTTAAATTTTTTCAATATATTAAATTAGCAC